GGAATTTTTCTAATTTTTTTAATTCACTTCCCCCGCCCCTCACTTCCCACCACTGGAACCAACTGTGTTTACGTGAATGTGTGGCAAGCAGGAACTTTGACATTTTTAGCATTTTTAGGGTTCCAGCACATAAAGAAATTATTTTATCAGGAAAATACCTTACACTTTGAAACAGGGCCAGAATGGGGCCTATTTTCAGTCCATGACTCTAATACCCAAGACCTGCCTCCACAAGACCAACTTGTTTCAACAGGATTATATACAGATAAATAACAAATAGCATACCGAACTTTTTAGAAAACATTCTACAGTCAAACTTTTCAATAGGCACAGTAGAAAAATACTGCATATACAAATTAAATCAGACAGCAATAGCTTTATGGATTGAACTATATGCTCATCTATATAAAGTGTCATAAACACCACTATGAAAACCTTGATATTGACCAAAATTAAATGGAGCCTACCGAATTGATTCCAGAAATCCACTCCGCCAAACCCGTAATCAAAAGCTGCATTCACGGCATGTCGTAGTCACTGTGATTTCAAGATGACAATACGTGACGTTCTGCTTGGAGCTGTTCACATCCTTGGACTCGGATTCGGAACTATCGCACTATAAATGCCTAAACATATCGCCTAATGAATCTGGGGTGGTCAGGTAGTAGAAGTTGTAGCTCTCAGAAAACTCCCAGTTCACAAGTAACGAGTTCCAGGGCAGGACTTAGGGTGCCGGGGCCCCTGGGCTTGAGGTTATGTTTGGGCCCTACCTATACAATACAAATGCCCTCAATTAGAACATCATTATGGAGTAAAACAAACTACACAAAAATTAAAATATGCTTTGAGGTTTTAGTACAATTAATATGCAACACGTCTAGCCTAGTCAAAGTTTAGTTGTGATATTGTAATAAAATAAACAGCATGTGTTCTCTCAGTTGAGAGATCAAAACCCTAAAATAACACGGATTAAAAAAAGCCAGATATGTGTTAGTATTATAAAAAA